GGCCAGACTGGGTAATAGCGGGGCCATCGCCTCCGCTCCTACTGCTCCAGAAGCCCCCAAAATGAGTTGTTGTTGATAATCAGCAGGTTTCTTCTTGGGGGATGATATTGATCAACCGGTAAGACGTGGGCAGACCGATCAGAATAGATGATGGAAGTGCAGCAGACACTTAAGGGACTTGGGGCAGTGGCTGTTTACTAGCCAGTGGTGCCTCCTGCCCATAGGGCATCAGCTGGGTTTTCAACATCTTTTCTAGTTGGTCCCCACGCTGCCTGCGCTCAGGGAGCTCTCTGCCACCCCCTTGTGTGCAGTCATTAGCCTTGCACCCCTCTGCAATCGGGCTCATCTCCAGAAGACTGGGAGCTCCCGAGCCCTGCCCCTGCCTAGCTCTTCCTCACACCTGGCTGAAGCACAGGAAGGACCCAGGCCTCTGGTCCCCGCCTCCCCCCAGTGCTGAGCCCCTGGCCACTCCTGGATCTCTCCTGGGCCCCTGTAGTTCCAAGACTGGGACCCCCTGGAGAAGCCCTCATTTACTCCAGGAGAATCCAGGCCCTGCTGCGTCATTATCCATCCTCACTGACTGACGCTGGAGGATTCTTGCCAGGGAAAGCAGTGTAAATGCAGTCGAAGGACAGGAGGCCGCAGGTTGCTGGGGAAGATGCATCCTGGCAGCCTTGCTCTTGTCACTAACTTAAGATGTGAATCTGGGCAAGTCACTTCCCCTCACTGAGCCTCAGTCTCCCACATGTAAAAATGAGAGGATTGGACTGGGTGAGCCAGGTGAGGAGGCACCATTTTCTCCCCTAGGTAGGGGGGAAACTGAGGCCCAGACAAGGGAAGTGGCTTGCTCAGCATTACCCAACCAGGAACGGGCAGAGCAAGGCTGTGTTCGTCTGCTTCCATGGCCCGCGCCACACACTCCGTCAGAGGACATCAAGTACTTGGTGTCTGATGCTGGCTGGTAAGAGAAGGGAAAGCTCAAATGGGCTGGGGTTGTCAGGGAGGGCTTCATGGAGGAGGCTGTCTTGCAAATGACAGAGGTTGAGAGAAAGATCATTCCAGGTGGGCGGTAGAGTGGAACCAAAAATTCAGAGGCTGGAATGCTCCAACAGTGAGGAGTTGTGTCTGCCTGGAGCAGAGGGAGTGGTGGGAAGTGGGGGATGATGTACTCGGAGGCGGTTTGCACATGATACACACTCCAGCCACAGCAGGTTCTTGAGCAGAAGAATAGCAGAGTGAGCTTCGGGTTCCAGGAGGAGTGAGTTCAGCCATCAGGTGGGGGCAGGGTGCCCCACAGCTTCCCCGTCCCCCGGGAAGAAAAGCCCCCTGGAGAAGCCCTCATTTATTCCAGGAGAATCCAGGCCCTGCTGCTTCATTATCCATCCTCACTGACTGACGCATTTAATCCACAGATCACTCCAACTGCGGGGAGCAGCAGGGTTGGATTTCGAGCTACCTGATTCTTAATTCAGCTTCGTTTGATGATACCCACCCATTCCCTCCAGGCCTCTGTGAGAGCTACCAGGCCCTGACCAGAGCTGAGCAGATGTGGGTGGCAGTGACGGCCTGGGCAGGCAGGAAGGCGGGCATGGCAGAGCCCTGAGGGGACAGAGCAGAGCCCTGGTGTGCGCTGGAGGTGGCATGGTGGCATACTCACTGCTTAGGGTGCCCATCTCTGCCCTGGTGGCCCTGGCCCTGGGATCACCCAGGAAGGGGCTGGGGTCCTGCCCTTTACAATGGTGTGTTACGCTGGGGAAACTCAGAAAGAAGTTAGGGAGCCACTCTGTGCATGCACACACCAGCTGCCGGCCTTGACCCAGCTTCCCAGGAAATAGGTCCTGCCACAGAACATCTGGGAGAACACCTCGAAGCTGGCCAGTGTCCCTTCAGGGACACCAAGGTCAGAGTGCTGGTCCCAGAGGGTGACTTGGCCTTTGTTCTGACACGGGAAGCTCAGGGACACCCCACGGGAGGCGGGTCGCAGGAGGTTGAGGCCACAGGGATTGCATTAGTCACCGAACACTTACCATACATTCGGGACCTTATGGGTGTTACCATCCCCCCTCTCCCGGTGAGGAAACAGATGCCCACAGGTGCTGCCAGAGGGTTCCCTCCGGGCCCTATGCCTTCGGGGCTCCCCCTTTCCCACCTCCCAGGATTTCTCCGAATGTTTGCCATCGCCCACCTGTGTCAGAATCACCTGGGCTCTTGTTCAGCTGGCAGACCCACAGGCTCCTCCCCGACCCCTGAGTCAGAATCCCCCAGGTCAGCCCAGGGGCCTCTGTTTCTCACAAGCTCTCCTGGGAGACTCCTCCAGACTAAAATCCTCTCTTCACTTTCCCCTCGACGCCCTGTGCCCTGGTGTCTGCGGAGAGAGGGGCTGGTGTGGACAGGGTTTAGGACAGAGCAGGACATCGTCAGATAAGATGCCCAAACTCAGACATGGATTAGGGCCCATGAAGTGGGGGCAGGGCTGACCCTCAGGCATGTGTTCAGACTGTGCTCAGCTTTCAGGGAAATTAGACAGACCCCCCAGATCCTGAGTCTGTCTGAGTTTAGCTTCGCAGCGTGGAGGCTGCCTCAGGAAAGCTGATAGAGCAAGATAAAGCAAGAACTTAATACTGCAGAGGGGCCCGGCAGCTCCCCCAGGGCCACCCTGTGGGCACCCCACGAACCCCAAGGCTACAATCCAGAGCTGCAGAACGGGGCTTCCAGCTGGACCTGGAGCTTCATATGCCCCCTCTTCCCACCAGCACCAACCCCCTGCTTCCCAGACGAAGACACAAGGCTTTCCCTGGAGGAGGGCGAGGGAGGGAAGGCCCTTGTCTCTACTCAGGTCTAACAGCCATGTTGGAGGAGGGGAAAGAGAGAGGAGAGGGAGAAGGTCAGAGCGGGGACCACATACACTCTGGGTTCCTGCAGAGAGTGCCAGTCTAACATTCCATGGGTCAAAGATCCCAAGATTCTAAGATGGCAAAAGCCCCCAATTCTAAGATTCCAGGGGGAGGATTCCATGTTTTAAACATTCCATCACCATACGATCCTATGCTGCTCATTCTTGAGCCTTCAAGTCCCATTTGTTCATCACTGGTCCCCAAACCTGCGGACCGGGGCAGCGACAAAGCACACAGAAAGAGCGAGAATGAGAAGAGAGAGAGAGGGATGGTGAGGGCGGGTGGGGCAGGTACACACACACACTAACAACAGCTCCCTCCTTTGAGTCTGAAGCAGAGGCGCACCTGCACCAGGGCCAAGACCCCTCCTGTGAGGCTGGGTTTCTCTCGCTGGGAGAGGAGCAGAGCTGCCCACATCTGGCTGCCCCATGCAGGCCACCGTGCCCACTGGCTGGTGGGCTGGACAGCTCAGCTCAGGAGCCAAGCGGGGGCCCCACTAGCTAGGTTTGGGGAGGGACTCATCTGGGGTGGAACTCCCACCCCTCCCCCAAAGAGGAGGCTGCAGGGCCAGGGATTTGCTGAAGCATCTTCCCCAGGTACACCACCTTCCTGTGCAGAGCCTGTGTGTGTGTGTGTGTGTGTGTGTGTGTGTGTGTGTGTGTGTGTGTGTGTGTGTGTGTTGTGCTTTGTTTCAGCGCTGGGAAACCATAGGGTTGTGCTACAAACCCCAGAGCCACTCGGGTTACAGCCTCGCAGCCGTGCAGTCCCTGCCCCATTCCAAGGGCCGTTTGACCCTTTCTAGGGGAGGCTCTTGCCCATGGGATCTGGGAGGCCAGCCCGTGGAGGTTCCTCTGGACTGCTCAGAGCTGTCTGCCTGCTTTCCCTTCCATGGACAGGGCCTCCAGTGGGCAGGGGACACAAGGGGAGCCCCTGAGGCTGGCCCAGGGTAGGCCTGGCAGGAACCTCACTCACAGGCAGCCTCTTTGGAGCACAGAGAAGAGCAATTACTGGTTGGTCAGGCTCAGCCCCAAATCCGAACCACAGCTGCTATTTCTTGAGTGCCAACAATGTGCCAGAGGCCACGCTTACCTTTTTACACACAGCGTCTCACTCAATCCTCACTCAGCTCTGCGAGCAGGTACAGTTATTATTCCTGCTCCACAGACCAGGGAATTCAGAGACCGGCACGGGGCTTTCCCAGGTCACAAAGTCGGCCAGTGGTCTCTGACCCCAGCATCTGCCCTCCCAATCATTATGCTCTGCTGCTACCAAGATGCCCACTCAGCCCCTCTCCACTGTGAGGCCCTTGCCAGTCAAACCCCACACTTCAAGGGGCACTCTGCTTGGGGGCACTGGGACATCCTAACCTCCTAGAGCCACTGTCTGAGCCGCTGTCCTGGACTCCCCGCGCCCTGCCCCTGCCCTGCCCCCACCGCCCAAGGTGTTAGTTCCAGCCTGGGACATTGGGCCAGAACTCTCAACTGGGCGGGGTGGGGGGGGTCTGGCAGGATTTCACAGAACCCTGTCTCTTCTGGTCATAAACATGATGTTCCTGATAATGCTGGGGGGTCGGGAAGTGATGCGGTCGAGGGTTCTGATGGCCATGGGTCAGACCTGGATCCCCACTGCTGTGACCAAGGAAACCTCACCAGCTGTGTCCATGGGCCCCTGACTCTGTTGCTCCAATGCCTTTGTAGGAGTATTTTTAGCAGAACCTTTTTTTTTTCCAAAATAAATGTGAATTGTAAAAACTATCACTTGGACTCACAAGGTTTTCTTGTTCATTTGTTTTGGTTTGGTATTTTTGCTGAGGTTCCCCAGGGAACACATGGGGGCTCCTAGAGGTTCTCAGCAGGGTTGTGAAGTATGACTAAGGATGAAGCCAGTGCTAAGGGGCTGAGGTTGGGGCTGGGGTTGGGTTTGGGTTGGGGTTGAGGTTGGGGTTAGGGCTGGGGGGGGGGGCGGGATTTGGCCTTGGCTGGGGAGGGGCATTGAATTGGAGCAGTAACTCCCAAGTGCTCTAAGAACACGTATTCATGTTTAAGAGTTTGAGCTCGGCTGTCAGGGGTCCTAGGGTTTGAATACCAACCCTGTCATTTAGCTCTGTTAGCTCAGTTTCTGTGGAGATGTCACATAATTGCTGCACGCCTCATTTTCATGTCTGTGAAATGGGGCAATGACATCTAAGTCCGAGAGCACAGGTGAGGATTAAATGACATGAAGCATAACAAGTACTTGGCGTGCACAAACATGAACTCTCGGATTTTGCTGGGAAAGGTCAGGGCCCATGTCTGCCATACACTCAGCTCTGCTCTCCATAATCAGGATGCTGCCTGACCTACGATAGGATCTCAGTAACTGTCCAATAAATGTCAGGTCAAGTTCTGCTAAAGAAAAAAAAGGGGGGGTCATTCAAGGGCAGTTCATGGCAAAATACATTAGGCAAATTTTGGACTTGGGCAAGTTGATTAGGTTTCCTTACTTCAGGATAGTACAGAGCCTTAAATATGTTTAAAAATATGTATAGCCCTAACCAGTTTGGCTCAGTGGATAGAGCATCAGCCTGCGGACTCAAGGGTCCCAGGTTCGATTCCGGTCAAGGGCATGTACCTTAGTTACGGGCACATCCCCAAGTAGGGGGTGTGCAAGAGGACGCTGATTGATGTTTATCTCTCATCAATATTTCTAACTCTCTATCCTTCTCCCTTCCTCTCTGTAAAAAATCAATAAAATATATTTTTAAAAAATAAGGGGAACAAACTACTGATGTACACAAAGACATGCATGAACTGCCAAACATCACGCTGAGCAAAAGGAAACAGACACAAAGGACGACACTGTATGATCCCATTCATATGAAATTCTATGACAGGCAAAACTAATCTATGGGGACAGAAAGATCAGTGGTTGCCTGGAGCTGGGGACAGGGGAGAGGACTGACTGCAGTAGGAAGGACGTTTGCGGGGCGCTAGGAATGTTCTATACCTTGATAGGGGTGGTGGGTATACATACTCACCACCCAAAATCACCAAACTATACCCTGGTAATGTGTGCATTTCCCTTTATGTAAATTATAACGCAGGTTGATTTTTTTTAAATATATTTTATTGATTTTTTACAGAGAGGGAGAGGGACAGGGAGTTAGAAACATTGATGAGAGAGAAACATTGATCAGCTGCCTCCTGCACACTCCCCACTGGGGATGTGCCCGCAACCAAGGTACATGCTCTTGACTGGAATCGAACCGGGGACCCTTCAGTCCACAGGCCGATGCTCTATCCACTGACCCAAACCGGTTAGGGCCAGGTTGATTTTTTTAAAAGACAAAACACAAGCCCCTATTTTTGTCTTAGATTCAACAGACACAAAAGTACTTTGTCGGCGCGCTGTTCAAAGTATGTAAATGCTTTATTCTAAGTTTCTGTACTTAGCTCGTCCTCCCCCGTGGATAAGGAATCGTTTGCAGCCCGGGGTCCACACTCCGAGTAGCGGGGGCCCTACCCCGCTTCGTCAACTACCTGGGTTCGCGGGAAGGCGAGGCGGGGAGGCTCCGGCCAGAGCCCGGGTCACTGGGTCTGGAAGACGGGCTTGCGCAGCAGCCGCAGCACCCGGTACGTGTAGAGCCCGGGAACGTCGAAGCCCGGGGACAGCCCGCGGGGGTCCAGGGGGTAGAAGCGGACGAGCTGCCCGTGCTGGGCCTCGAGGGACAGCCAGGCG